AATTACTGATTTATTAATTAACTAGATTATTTTAATATATAACTAATTGCAAAAATGCTTAATTTAATCTTTTTCTTATTATTTTAAGAGATAATAATTAATTTATTAACATATACTTTAGCAAATATTTTTATAACTTTGATATATTATCAATATAAGATTTTATTTTATTTTTAACATAAAAATAAAACTAACCTTTGCTATATGATAATAATGATATATAATAAAGGTATGCTAATTTTAAGATAAAAAGTAAGCTAATAAGTATTAATGAGATATATAAGTATTTTTTTTTTTAGAATTTCATGTAAATATTTTACAATTTTAACTTTTATAATTACTTATTTTTTGTTTAACATAGTAATTTCAAACTTAATATTATTATAGATTTTATCTTATAGATCTGAATCTTTTATAACTGTAGATGATCTTTTTAAAATATTATATTTCTATAATATCTTCTTTTAACAATTTTTTTTTTACTGCTAGTTTTGATTGAACTTTAACATGATGTTTTAACTTTATTAGCTATATTGATATATTTTTATTTTTTATTTATTTTAGATAATAATATAATTTTTATTAAGTTATTTGTAATAATCTCTATCATTTATTGATTTTCAACTATGCTTTTATAACTAAATTAATCTTTTTAATTGCAATATATTATAATTTAGTATTTGATGATAATGTTATAGTATTAATAAAGCTGATAAACTAATTTAAAATATTTAAAGTTTTTAGAATAAAAGTTTAAAAAGAATTGAAAATCAAAGCATATAATATAAATATTTTTTGATAAGAGTAAATAATAGAAGGTGATTCTATTAAATTTACTAAATAACAAATTTTAAATATAATAATTTAGCATTAAAGTCAGCATAAAAGTGATCTAAAATTAGTAAATTAATAGAATCACTCTAATTCTCTATCAGTTTTTATCTACTCTATAATACTGTTATAATAATATTATAATACTAAGCTAAATTTCTTTAAAATATATAGTTAGAATTATATTATAATGTCAGCTAAATTATCACAAAGTGAAAAATAAATTAAAACAATTAAGATATTACAATTAATACTAAAGATAATCACCACAATTAAAAAAATAGCACAATTAAGTTGCAACTTGTGATGCAATTAAATTTTTTATGGTGCAATTAAGTTGCAATTCAATTGAAATTTGAAAATAATTATGAAGATCATCTTTAATTAATACAATATAATTTAATTAGTACAATATAGTTTATTTAGAACAATAATCTAAAGAGAGTAATTCACAATAATGTAGACTATTATATTAAAAATTATACTAAAATAAATATAAAAATAAAAAATAAAATAAAATTTAAAGATAATTAGAATATCAAAGATAATAACAATAGAATATTATAGTTTACAGCAGATATTATAGTTTATATTAAATAGATTATTTTCTTAGTTTTAAATATTTATTTTAATTTATAATATATATATATTATAAATTAAAATAAACATTTGAAAACTGAGAATATAATCTATTTTTATTTTTTTTAATATATTTAATAAGTATAATACATATTTTTTAGATTTAATATATAATTTTACCATGTAATTTTATAGATAAAATATATTTTTTTTATCTATTTATTATTTAAGTTAAAAATCAAATTTTAGCAAATTTTAGATCAAAATAAAAAAAAATTTTCCTGAATAAAATTATTATAAATTTTAGTAATTAGATTGCAAATAAATGTAAAATTTTAAATAAAGATTTAAATCAAATCAAGATAATAATAAAAAATCTCTTAAATTGTCTATGTTAACTTAAAAAGAAAATATAGTTATATTTAGAAAATAAATAATTTCAAGTTTTAAATTATTTAAAAGGATATTATTTGTTAAATCTAAGACTAAAATTATTATAAAATTAGAAATATGTAAATTTTCCAAGTAAAAGTAAAGTATTAAAAAAAGGTTTATTAAAAATAACTTTTTTTAAATCTGAAATAAAAATAAAAAAAAATGCAGATTTAACTACTAAAAATATTAATTTATTTTCTAAGAAAAAAGAAAATTTAAAAGATAAATTATTTGAAAAAAAAATTAATTAATGCAGATAAAAAAATAATCTGATTTTATCACAAAAGATATTAATAGAAAAGATTTTCTCCTTTAAAAAATAAAAAAATCTAAAAGAAAACTTATAATACTAATCACTTTATAAGAAAATATTTTAATTATAATATAAAATTAATATATTCTATTTATATTAATTGCCTAAAAATATTAATAGCATATACTATATAGGTTGATTGCTAGGAAAATCAGGTTCTAGGAATTTTTTAGCAAAATTGAGATTTTTATTGCATTTTAGTTTTTGATGTTATTAGGTTAAAATGTATTAAGCTCTTAATTTTAGTCAAAAATTTCTCAGAACCTGATTTTCCTAGAAACACTCCCATATGATTCATATAAAATTATTAATACAGAAAATTTATGATTATTCATTTAGAATACTAAAATAAAAAATAAGCTTTAATATAAAAAAGAATCTAGTTTTATATCTCTTAAATTAAGTGACAACATGGAACATTGAAAGATAAAGGAAAAGTTTGATTTATTTTTCGCTTTTTTTGCTTTTACTAATGTATTTTTTACTTAAGTTATATGAATATAGTTATTTTCAATAGTTTTTATTTATGTTTTGAATTATAGATAAAACTAATATACTATATATTTTTTAATAATAATTACAAAATAATATAAATTAATTATATTTTTTATTTTAAATTTTAAAATTATTAATCCATTTTATTCTTTTTAATTTTACTTTAAAAATAGATAAAGCTTTATTAATAGATTAAAAAAGCTTAATTATGAATCAAAAATTTTAATATAAACAGATATTTTCTTTATATATTTAATAGCATATTTTATATAAATAAATGGATTAATTACTGGCTAAATTTTGCTGAAATATAAAGGTCAATCTATAATAATAATATTATTATACCGAGGGGAGGGGGGATAAAAAGTATTGCATGCTTTTATTTTTTCAATAATTTTTTATTTTTTACAGAAACATACAATTTTTTTTTTTATTTTTTGAAAACTGACATTAATATTTAGTATATCCTCCATTGGCGTTAATTATAGCTTGAATTCTATTTGACATTGATTGCACTAAGTTTCAGTACTCTTTTTGTGATATCACATTCTACACTTCTTTTATCACTTTTTCAAGTTCAGGAATGCTTGAAGGTTGAGGATTGCATTTTCAAATTTCTACCTCAACTATAGATCACATATTCTCAATTGGGTTAAGATCAGGACTTTGAGCAAGCCATAGAAGTAAATCTATCTTTTAAAAAAGTAAAAGCTCTTGTGCAACCTTCAAAGTGTGAACTGGCGCATTGTCTTCCTGAAAAATAAATTTTTTTTTGTTTTTTGGAAAAATTCCTTGAGCATTAGAACTGCATAAGTGGCAAAAACACCTTTATAAACTTCTCCAGTAATTGAACCTTTAAGTGGTATAATGGGTCCCAACTTTAAAAAAGAAAAACATGCCCAAAACATCCTTTGAGAAGAATGTTTTGCAGTCAATGCAATACAATCTTCATGAGATTTCTCTCCTGATTCTCGTCACATTCGTCCCCATTCAGATTTGTGAAATTGAGAAAAAGTGGACTTGTCTGTCCAGACTATTTTTTTCCAGTCTTCAATGGTTTAATCTTTTCTTTCCATTGCCTATACAAGCCTTTTAGTCTTGTTAATTGCTGAAATTAAAGGTTTCTTTCGAGGAATACAAGAAGACACAGTTTTTTCATGAAGTGCATAGCGAATAGTTCTTTTGGAGATTGGTTTATTGTTTTTAGCAGAAATTATTTTGGTAATATCTGCTAAATTTTTCCGTCTCAATTCTTTGCTTTTGAGAACTTCGGCCTTTAATCTTTGCCTTCCTTGATTATTGATTAAGTATGGTTGACCTGATCATTTTTTGAAAGGTTCACCTGATTTATAAGCTGCAAGATATCTTGAAACAGTTGTTCGATGACATCCTACAGCTTTTGCAATCTCTGAATTTATGTGACCCAATTTATTGGCTGTTATTATGCCTCCCTTTTGCATAAGAGTTAATTCTTAAGTGAGGCCTATCACATGTTTATACACAAAGGTGAAAATTTTGGTTTTTTTAAATATTGAATTTATTAATTGCTATACATTTAATCAAAACAATAAACAAATATCCCTTTAAAGCAACTGCTAACCTATTCAGTATAAAAATCATATAGCTAGTAACTTATAAAAAATTTATTTAAATTTTTATTTTTAAGCTATGCAATATATTTGTCTCACCTTCCCTGATATATGCTGATTCAAAGAAAATGCAAGAGAAAATTATTTCTTATTTCATTAAAAGGTATCATTACAATGTCAGTTCAATATATGTATTGCAGAGTTACTTTGACTATTCAAAGATAATATAAAAAAATCTCACACATGTCTGTCTATTTAACAGGTTCTGCATTACGAATGAGCTAGTCAGAATTGTGCGTCAATATGCTAATGACTGGTGTAATATAATTAAGATTATTAATAAAACATTATGTAAGCAAAAATTTATTATTTTCGATTTAACTGTACTTTGAGAGCATTCACACAGGATACATGTCAGTTAAAATATGCTATTTCTTAATAAAAATTCAACTTCATAGATGCCAGCTCTTTTTTCGCCTTCAGCACTTGTATCTTCAGATCTTTGATTTCATAACATGTTTTCTTATTTGCATTAACCTGCTCTTTATATTCCTTTTCTATGTCATGCATAAATTTCTTAAAAGTTCATCTATTATAATCGAACAGGTGTTAAAATAATACTTTAAGCTCATTTATAACTCAGTGATTATTCTCTTTTTTATGATTATACTTTAACGTCTAGTTCAGCCAAGTGATATTATCAGTTTAAAACTCACTATCTGTAACATATATAGTTAATATTTCTTTGAAAGATAAAGATGTTTGACATTTTAGTTAATTTTGGATTCGTCTCTGATACATTAATCTCTTTTAGTATCTAATAGTTTCATGTTTTAAAAACAATTCTACAATTGGATTAATTTTATTAGCCTCTTTCTCAGATAATAATTTGCATTTCCCTGATGTGAGACAAATCTATACCTCATTTATTAAGAAAGCTGGTAATTTTGCTAGCAAGTCAGAATATACCTAATTAAATAGCATTATATATATATTTATACATTATGCAAAAAAAAATGGAATTTCATGAAATTTCAAAAATAGATCGCTTTATTGAAATAGTAATACAAATAACAATTAGATTATTTTTTTTGAAATTTTATAGATTTTTTTTTTATTTTTAGTGGTGATGATGATCTTGGTAGAGAAGATACTATAAAGCTATTTTCTATATTACTACTTGAACTAGTTAAAAATACATAATACAGAAGAAATATATTGACGTGCAAGATATTTTATAATTATAAGTATATGTTAATTTTAAGCAAGTGAAATATAAGAATTGCATTTCACATATTTATATTGTCAATAAAGTTTTAATAAATTTAAATACCGTATTCCCATCTGTTAGCTGTATCAGAATTTTAATTATACACAAATTATAAAAACAATATATCTCATTTATATCTTGAATAAGGATATTTAGATGCATCTCAGTTCTGACAATTTGGATCCCAATAATATCAAAATCATTTTTGTCAGGCTTGCATTCTTTATGAGCCTAATATATTTCATTGTTTATCTCTTTTCAAGTTTTTACCCTATAATTTTCCTTTTTTGTTCGTCATAAATAATACAGAAACTTTTACTATAAATTAATTCATATGACCTATTATTACAACTAGCGATGAATATAATATCTGATTATTTTTTAACTTCTCTTCGATTTTTACTGGCTATACTTTGATGCTTAGCTGTGAAAATATAATCAGATTTTCTAATTAGAAGATCTTTTAATAATGCTTAAATCATTAAAACTATTACATCAGTCATATATGTTCTTTCACTTTGTGATTTAACCAGCTTTAGACTGAAGGTAGGATTTTTTAAAATATCTTTTCTATAAAGAATAATATTAAATATAATTTCAAATAGAAATTTTAAGAAATAGCAAATATGATTGTTAAAACTTTTATTATTGAAATACTCACAAAATATCAAGTATACCTAATGTAACTTTTGCTAGTTTTTTGTTAGATTTTTTCTAATTTTTATCATGTAAAAATCTATTATTTAATACATCTGTAATACTGTCTATGAAATTCAAAACAAAGGAATTATAATTATTTTTGATAAGATCTGGAGCAGTTACTTTCATATATTTCTTTGGATCCTATGAAATACCAATATTAATATGATACTCTTTGCCAAAAGTGAACTATAGTAATACAAAATACTATTTACTAAATTATTTACCATAAAAAAGTTATATGCATCTACTTCTAAAGTTCTCACCATTTCTAAATCTGCACAAATCACTTAACTAGCAAATAGAATGTGTTATTATAAGTCTGAAGCACTTTTTTTCTTTAAATATTTACAAAAATAGTGGGTGTACAGAGCTTTACTGTTTTAAAATTAGTTTTCAATATATGCAAGTTCATCTTAATTTCATTCTTAGTGAGTGGTTCTTCCTATTTTGATTCTTTGATACTCTGAAAACTACTTATACCTTCATATGCATTATCAAACTAGTGCAGAAGCCTTATATTAGTATTAATATAATTGATCTTTTGATATTAGAATTATATACACATATCTATCAACATATTTTAAGTAAATCATCAACTATATGGGAGTGTTTCTAGGAAAATCAGGTTCTGAGAAATTTTTGACTAAAATTAAGAGCTTAATATATTTTAATCTAATAACATCAAAAACTAAAATGTAATAAAAATCTCAATTTTGCTAAAAAATTTCCAGAACCTGATTTTCCTAGCAATCAACCCATATGTGACCTGCATACAATTGATAATGTATATAAATGCTATATTTTTTCTTCATAAACTATAAATAAGATCCATTCCCATGTGTCTAAGGAATTAATATGTTTGATTAAACTTGTGCTTACATAGCTATGGATACTCACTTAATCTGGTTATAAAAATATCATTTTGCGTAATTATCATTTAGGATTATAAATCTAAAAAATAATAGTAATAATCATTAATCTTTAAGGAAATATCAACAAGTTTTAGATATTTTTCTGAAGTCTGATTATAATTCTTTTTCACTATTATAATTACCTGATGAATTATTTTTCTTAATTTATCTTTTGGATATCACGTATCATCTTCTATTAGTTAAAAAATAACAGAAAATGCGGTAATATAATCTGAGTGTGAATCAAGTAAAAAATTATAAATATTTTTATATAATGCGAAAGAAGATATAATGATGAAAAATATAATGTTAGAATTTTGCTAAAAAAATAATAAGCGACAAATAACTTGAATTACATACACTTGTACTTTTAAATCTCTGGTGACTTCTCTATTCATATTCTCTCTAACTCATATTTATGTTGAGAAAAAGAGATAGGAGAACTATGCAAGGTACTTTATGCTAAAATTTTGTATTTGAAAATAAAGGCATATAGAATGTGATTAAAAATCTTAACTTTTGGAATGATGTTGGAGGACAATGTATTTATAAACTTTTTTTGCTTACCTGATCACTTACTATAAAGATCTGGCGACGTTATATAAATATATTCTGCTTAGAATTAATAGTGTCAAAGAGCCTATCCTTCTAGAGCAAAATATATATCAGTAAATGCTTGCTTCTTTAAAAAATATTTTTTTCAGAATAAAAAAATCAATTCACAATATAAATCGATAGATCAAGAGATATTGCACAAGTAGTCATACAGAGTTATAAATGATTTGCAGTGTATCATCTGTTATATTATATATACTTTAATAAGAATCGAAAATGTGCTAATTTATGTTACACATGCCTTCATGCATTGGCCTTGAGATACTTCACATGGCTAGACAATATATTATTTTATTAATACAATATTCAAAATCTGTGTCAAGGTCTGATCTGAAAAATTCAGCGTACAAACTCACAATTATTATCTAAGTCTGTGAAATTCATAGTAATATCCTTCTTGTAAATATAATATATATATTTTAATGGTGAATCACATATAGGTTTCATTTTTGATGATTTAATCTTATATGCCTCATATTCTGAAATTCTGATGAAGTATATAAAATTATACTTTTTATGAATACTATAATATCTAGGATTTTATAGATATTTTAACATGTCAAGCTAATATGTATCTCTAACAACTATATAGCCTTGTTGATATAATAATTTCTTAATAAGTATGAATGTTACAAAAGATAATTATTGCTATAATTGTGATCTTTTCTCATACATCTAATCATTTCTTACTAGATAACAACATTTTTTATACCTATAATAAATATATCCTGATTGTTCTGATTCATTTTTTATACTAAAAACCTTTTCTTATTAGGAATACCATCATTTCTTACCATCTCCTAAACCCATTTTGCTAATAATTCAGGCCTCTTCTTGTAATTCTTATAAGCTCGCTAGATAACCATTGTATAGAAATTTTTAAACTGATAATTATATTGTCTCACAATCAAGAATTTCTAAAATCACTTTATTGATCTTTCTCGAAAAATACTTTATTAAAATAGATTAGAAGATCTAACTCAGAATAGGCAGATCATGCATAGCATCTGTAGGTGATACATTTCATGTATAACACCTTTAGCCAATTTCATTACATGTAGATTATATAGTCACAAAAAAATAATTTATGAATATAGTTGAGATAAATTTCTATAATTAAAACATTTCTTTGAATCAGTCAGTCAAACTGATTAAACAATCATAACTTTTATCCTATCTCTTAATTTTGATATAGTGCCTTTTGTGAATGGTAATAAGTTATTTTATTTTATATACAGAGACGAGATAAATATTTTGCTTATAATTCCTTTAGGATCCAATAATTGATAAGAAGTTAGTGAAATCACTTCTTGCCTGGCAGGTAAAATACAAGCTGACTCAAATTTTGGAGCATTTGGTATAACATTTTTTGCTACAGTTGCTTTAAATTGTGCATAATTTTTATAGCTAGCCGTAAAATTCCCATCATGATCATATGATACCAATGCTAACTTATCCTTTTTTGAATGTAAAGTAGATTGAAAGAAAAGCTCTAGATAAAGACAATTAATTTTAGCCTCTTCTTGTAATATGTATTGTTTATATTGCTAGATCTGAAATTCCCTTCTATCAATAGATTTGAGAATTTCTTCTCTTTTTGCATGTTCATTTGAAATAGTATTTCCAGAAATACATCTCTTCAAATGGTTATCTCGATAGTAATTAGCTCTACTAAAACTATTTTCAGGTATGAAAACTAAGGAGTCAAATATACTACAATATATGTAATTTGATGAAAGACCGTGGACTTTATCATGTTCATATAAATTTCCATACATTGTAATATATCCATTTTTAGAAAGGATTCTTGGATTCTCTTCAAGTATTTTTCTTAATGGATCACAGATATGAAAGCACCACATTTCTGGCGTTTCATGATCATATCGTTCACCTAAAGGACATAATGCTTCTAATATTCTTCTATATTCTTCGAAGTTTACATCACTATAGTCTATAGAAACTAGCTTATATTGGGCTCTACTATCTAAATCCATAATAGTGTTGATTATAACAGATTATAATGTTTTTATAATGTTTTAGCGATTTTAGCTGATTTAGCAATATTATACTATAATAAAACCATATTCGATTATAAGCATATTGGAGATTTATATAGGGTGTCTCGACTATGCTAATTTTGTATTCACATGCATGTAAATTGGCTCTCGTGATTCATGTTGCGAGAGAATAACAAGAAAGTACTTGAGAGTGCCTGGAAACAGTCTGAACGTAATTCTAAGTTATCAACATTCTTACAATCAGAAAGTAGACATATTTGTTGTATTATGTTAAAATCCTATGAGAATCATAGCTGTAAAAATTTTTATTGATACAGTATCTACATATTACATAACAGATAACGCAATTTACAAAAAATAAAAAATAAAAATCATTTGAGTGGGTTGCTGTCGCAGAAATCATCTAAATCATCTACACCAGAATGTAATATTTATGTATCAATGTCGGAAGAGTACTGTAGGTGCTACAGGCCTTATAGGTCTTGAAAGCACAGATGGTGTACAGGTCTTAAAACGCAGGCGATTCCTCGGATGACACGATACCGAAGGTATTTCCTCGGATTGCGCAGATGTCATTACTAGTTTAACTTGTATCGAGTACATCCCGAATATAAACAGCAATATTTTTCCGATATGAATTAACACGAAAAAGATACAAGCCCGATGTGGTAAATAATAAACGCGATAAAATATAATCTGGAATAAGGAATTCTAATTGTCTTGCATTGGTAAAAGCTTTATTACGTAATATGCCAAACTAATACATCATAAAATCAACCAATAAAAAATTTCTGATTATTCTAATTATTTTACATTTTTTGCAATCTCAAAATTTTTTATTTTTGTCTTTGTTTCTTAGGTGAGATTATTACCGGATCGGTATCATTACTACCATCATCGTCTGATTCTCTCATATTTTCAATATATGAAGTGATGCTTTCAACACTTGAAGAAATAATATCCTAATAAATTCAAATTATCAGTTGCGTTATGTACACTAACATTCTTTACAAAATGTCAAATACCTACTCGTATTTTCCATAAGTTGTCTAAGAATTTCGGTAATGCTTTAGAAACAAGTAAGGTAATTGTTGGACATTCGAACATAAATTCTTGCTTGAAATAATAAACTCCGGAGAAAGGTAAGGATAAGCTGTATATATAAAAAAAATTATCTAGACATAACAAAAGTCGTGTAATTAATATATGATCAACGTACAACCTGTCCAGCTCATAATACTTACTATAACTTTGTACTCCGTACACTTTAATCTTGCGAAATTGTTGGAAATCCTCAGAATATTCCGTTCTAATATAATTTAAAATAATTTTTAGATTTTTCGCTATCTTATTGCGGTCTCCGACATAATGAGAATGATCCGGATCTGATGGAGACCCAGAGACCTCCACAATAGAAAATTCAAGATTCAATTCCATCAACTTAATTATAGTATCGATCTTGCTTCCAGGACTACGGCGATCATTATCTCGTTGAGATATGTTTAAAAGGATTGCCGAACATTTCAATGCCTTTCACCCCTATTATAATACAGTAAATAAACTTTGAATAAAAATAGCAATAAGCAATAAATTAAATATGCTGAGACTTACCAATCAAAACTCAAATGTAGAAGATCCTTAAACATAATTTTGTATATCGGAGCGATAAAGTTGATTATATATTGGTATTCTGTTTGTTTCACTTTGAAGGAATTTTTCCCATTCTCAAATTGATTACGACTGTAAAATTGCGCATTAGCACAGAGTTGATTGTAACATAAAGAACCACCAATGTACTTACTAAATCTTTGATATTTTTATAATTTGTCTCTTCCATCCGGTATTACCACTTGTCCTCAATGTGAAATGATTTGACTTAATTGTTTCTCGTAATTTTTCGAGTGAATTCTAATAAAAAAAAAACAAATCAGTATTCAACAAAGCCGTGCTCAATATTTCAAAATAACATCCACTTACCACACCCATAAACAATTCTTTGGTATAATTTTTTATTTTATCATCTTTTGTTATTGAAATCGAAGGCACCTCTTCCATAGCAATAACCATAGTCTCCCAAATATTCTCAAAAAGCCTCCGCGCGTTCGTCGCCGATGAACCAATAGTATCGATTATGTTATAGCGCAACAGACTGTAAAATAAAGTTACCGATTAATATCCTCCTTAGATAATAATATATGAAAATGTTATTGACAGACATACTCTTGCTTGTGGATTGCTGAAACGTATTTAGATTTTTTACGCCACCCTTCCATTCTTAGCCGAACATCTGTTTCCTCCGCGATGAGGGTGCTGTCCTGTGTGGTCACTTCAAAATTGTAGTAAATGTCATCTTCTTCCTCGACATCTTCTGGTTTCCTCTTAGGTGTTATGTCATTTTGTTTTTGCTACATGCATGTACAAGATAAGGCTAAATGAATATCTAGATAACTAAATAAAAATTATTGGCAAACTTTATATCAATTAGAACCTACCGAAAAAGGAGATTGATCTTCTTTTCCCTCTGATTGTTCGTCATCTCCACTAACATCCAGTTTCTGTTTTGTATATTTGCTATGGTGATCAAAAGAACATTTCAGAAGTTCAGCAGACGTCACGACCTAATAAGGCAAGAAAAAATCTATCAGCTAAAGCAATATATCCTCTGAATGCGCCTACAATGGGAAACTCACAGAGTTAGTGTGTACAGCATCTTTAGTGAATTTGCGCTTCTTTTCGTTAACAGCAGACGTGTCAGCCATTTTTCTCTTTATAATTGCATCAAACAATTTATCGCTGAGAAATAAGTCAGGAAAGTTTTTTATTGTGAAGAGGTCTTTGTACCAAACAAGAGTTGCCTGTTTTAAATCTATAATATCAGTTCGTTCGTAAAAGTGCTTATGAGACCAATTCTTAAGAGAAATTTTCTTGAAGTAGAAAGAAACGGTGGAGTTCCAAGGAGCACGATAGTTATCATAATCCATATACGCGACTGATTAGGCACTCTTCCTATATAAGAAAGTAACACAAAGAGGGTCACACAGATCTCAAATAAATCATCGCGTACACTACTGCGTACACTTTCATACAGCTCTTTTACCGAGAAAGAAGAAGAGGCTTATAAACTCCTTAATTCAGTCATCTTTGATAGTGAAGTAGTTGATTATACCACGATTATTAGAACTAATTTTCCTGAATTTGAAAACGAAGAAGCTTGTAGGAGAGATAGAGAAAAGTTGCGAGGTGAAAATGTGAGATTAGCCACTATTTCTAAATCAGCGAAAATCATACATGTAGTCTCCTGCTGTGCTTCAGAATGTTTTTCACTGGCCTAAATCCCCGTTCTTGCTCTACATTCTGCTTCATGGCATATATGCCCATGCATCTGATGGTAATGAGTGTTTTTCACCGGCCTAAACCCCCGTTCTTGCTCTTCACTCTTATGATTACCATCCATGCAGAGGCACTAGATTGGAATATTGACGAAACTTTATTAATTTTCAGAAAATATATGGTACAAGTGAAAAAAGTGATGCTATCAAAGAGGGAGGGAGCACGCGGATCCTAGGCGAGTTCAATATTTACAGTATTTTTGTCTATCTATATCTCTCCCAAACACACAAAATATTATTTCCCGAAAGAGAACTTCTCTGAGATTAAAAAATTTCGAACCTATATTATAATTACGGAAGTATTAGCAACTGAGGTAAAAAAAAAAAATAATACAATAACGATTTACACTTACCATCATGATTCATTTTCACATAATTCCATTCCGCCTAATACACACGATATTTATTGCCTGTGTTATTGCCGAGAACCCGGCACGTGAAGATGCTTATATAAGATAAATTTTTTGATGCACTGCGCCAGACTTTTGCTGTTCCGTTGCATGTGACAAGACTCCTTTTACTGCGTCTATTGTACGCGTGATTCAGAGATTTTCTTGACAAATATCAAAATTAACAAGAGTAATATATCTGCTTTATTTTGGAACATCTATAGAGGCAGGAAAATCGGTTAACATCATGATGACATGTTTCAAGAAGCTAGCTGAGCGATAGACTGTCCTACCTTATTATTCATCAATAGGGGTAAAATGCTAATCTATATTTTTTGTCGTACAGGATATAATCCAATAAAAAAAATCTAATTAATGATCATATAAAGCGTCTTTCAATCTAGCTTCAGACTAGCTAGATTATTCAGACTTTAATTCAGTTTCAGAGCTAGAAGATTTTGAATCAGAACAGTAAACTTCATCAAAATTTTCGATATAAACATTCAGATTTGGCTAGTTTATGGCTTTTTTACTAATATTTTCACATTCTTCCAAATCTATAGATTTTAAATTGAGACATGAGTGAGCAATTTCTTTGATAATCATACTAGTAATATTGCAATATCCAAAGCTGAGATGCTAAATCTTCAGACAGAAGCAAATAATATTACAAATTGATGGTTTGCTAACAAACATATAGCAACTTAAATCAAAATATTCTAATTTATGATAAAAATGGGCTAATGCTTCAGTAATCCTATTTACAATATTATTATCATTGATCTCTAAGTGTTTTAAATTTAGAGATCCTTTGATGATAGCTATAATCAATTCATCATCCCACAAAGCCATAGCCTTATTAAAGTTAAGATACTCTATGTTGAAGCATTTTCGCATCAAAATACTAATATCTTTGACATTATCTTTACTATATGTAGTATTAAGATTTTGTAAATTTAGGCATGAGTTTAAGATGCAACTTATAGATTTATCTATGATTTGACGTGCTTTGGCAAAATGAAACACTTGTATATCATGACAATTTTCTGCAATTTCAAACAAAGATTTATTAGTAATATTTCTGCAGTAAGAAATATTTAGATGTTCTAATTTATGGCATGATTGTACAATTACACATAAGTTTTTATCAATTATTGCTTAAGCATCTCACAAATTGAGATATCTTAAATTAGGATATGATTCCGCTATTATAAATAGTAATCTATTATCAAACCTATTCTATTTTTGAAATCTAAATAATTTATATTTAGAAATATATCTACAATACTTTTTATTTTTTTATTTGAAAGTAAATAGTAATAAGTAATTTTAGATAGATTAGATTCGAAACATAAACTAGCTTATGCTTCTATTCATTATTTTTATAAATCTTTTGCATCTAGTATAGTCTCTTACATAATAATTATAATCTTCTAGAAAATGATGTTCATATCTCAAATCATTTTTCTTTAGCTCTATGCATCTCTATAGAATAGGAGCATTACATTTGTATTACAATTAGAAAATAAATAGAGTGGAATAGAGGGATTTATCTATTGCTAAAAAATATAAAATCTGTTCTAATACTTCTGATATAATAAAAATGCTTGATTGTGTCATAATTAATCTATATTATATATTGTATCTTCAAATGAAAAAAAAATATGCGATCATTACTCTAGACTAATTAGTTTAGTCTGATCAACTAATAAGCTATTAATAGTTCTCAACATTAAGGTGGAATTCAGATTATTAGCACTATTATGATTCTTTATCTTCTGCTCTAACTTAACCAATCCACAAACATTATATTAGCTAAGATATTTATCTATTATACTAATATAATGAGATGACACATCCATGATATTTTCAACATGAATATTTGGAATAAGTTGATATATAGCTTCTTTGCTAATATTATATCAACCCTTTTGATTAAGATATTTTAAATTAAAATATGAACTAGTAATTGCATTAATAGTTATATTAGTAATCACCATATGCTGAAAAATATTGAGATATTCTAATTTACGGCATCTCAGTATAACTATTGATAGATCATCATCAGTTATTTCAGTATTACAGCCAGAGTTGCTAGAAAAAGGAATATAATTCTCATACATCAACCTTCTTATTCTTTTAAGGTAAACATTTTGAGATGTCTGATTCTGATTATGACTTACTTTCCCATTCTTCTGCAAATTGAGATACTTCAAATTGGGATATGATTTTGCTATTTGTTTGAGTGTCTTATCACTGAATCCTCTGCTATAGCTAAAATCTAAATAAACTATATTTGAAAGTAAGCTTGTAATTCTTTTGAATTTTTTATCTGAAAGTTGATAGTAATTTGAAATTTCTAAATGAGTTACATTAAAACAATAAACTAGTTTTTGCTCTTTACACAATATTTTCATAAAAATCTTTCATATACTACTTGTCTTTAACTTAATGTATTTCCATAAAATAGGAGTATCGCATCTGTACTAAAACTGACAAATAAATAGAACAGGATATAGTGACTTATTTATCACTAGAAAATATAGAATCTGCTCTAATAATTCTGATAAATTTATAACACCTAAATGCGTTATAAATAATATGTACTATATCTTTAAACAAAAAATAAAATTACAAATATTGATGATCACTATTCCAGACTAAGCCTTTCCATTATCTTATATAATGTAAGTATTTTTAGCCTATCTAAAAGAACTTTAAATGTATTTCAAGCAATATTCCTTTGAGAAATAGCCATTTAAGCTGTTCTTCATAGTAGCCTATACTTTTGTTATACTCTTTTAGTTTTGAATAAAAGTTTTTTATCGTATTGTTATCTTGAACTAATGATCCAGTCTGAAAATCAAAAAAAGTCTTTCTTTTAGATCATTTAAAATCTACCTTCTTTGCCTATATATCATTTATACTGTGATTTATATTAGTGTCTATATCAATTAATACCTCAATAGGAATATTTTCTTTAATACACAATTCACGCATACCATTTTATTATGTCATATATAATATTCAAATATAAAATTAAACCTCTTTTTAACACCTGATTCTTCAAACCCTCTGGCTCAGTCCATTTTAAACTACCAACTGTTTAATCTTTTTTGGTTGTATCTTCCTTTGTTATTTATGAGAGATAGCCTCATTTTCTCTTATCACAATTGTCTTGACTAAATCAGATTCTTCAAAAGACTCAGACAAATAGGAGAAATCCTTATCTTTTTAGCAATTATCAAGAAAACTTTTTCTTATATTAAATTAATCACAGTCTTTATATCTACATATTCATCCAGTTCTACACATTTATTCAAATCTTCTATTTTAATTTCTAAGGACTTTATATCTCTCTCTAATCTTTTTACTCTCTTTTCTAAAGTGTTGTGTTAGAAATGATAGTCTTCCAATTATTTCTTTAATGCTCTATTTTTACCAGAAAGTATATTATACACCTCTGCATTTTGCTTATCTAGTCTAAATACCTAGGTTAATATCTTTATATATTTGATAACTTTCTGCTTTCTGGATGCATTAGATGAATGATTTTGATCAGTTACCATTTTTGCAATATTTTATATATGATATATCTATTTTTTTCTCATATTTATTCGAAAAAAAAATTCTATCAGATAAGATATTAGAGTAAATTGCTTTAGTTAAAAAGGTAAACTATCTTCTGCAGATTAACAGATCAAGAGAGGCAAAAAAATAAAATTAATAATGATATTCTGATTCTCTAACTCATATATGTAATTAGTTTTCATCAAAGATTTTGATTACCTTAGCCTGATCATAATGTTGCTTCTTTTTCGATAATTTACTATTGTATAGTTTTTTTAGGTGAGGTATAGTTTTCAGAAAAATGTCTAAGTAATTCACTGACAATAGTCATAGCCTCTGATAAATTCTTCACTCTATAAGCCACAATTGTCTCTAATTTGCGCAAAGAACTAGAAAGTAGTGATTTGCCAGTTTCAGGAAGGAATTTATTTTTTTTCAGAAATGTATTAAATCATAACACTCTGGGCTTTTTAGGGTCTCGTAGCTGTCTGAAAGAAATTGCTTTCTAAATTCATGTAAGCAATTGACTAGCCCGCTCCTTGTTCTTTTCTAGTGATCTAAATATTTGAAAAATGTCTTATTGTCTCTAATTTTTTGCATATAAAGTTATATCTCTATTAGATATACGTAAGGTTTTTATTTCAGTAAGACAGATGTAAAGCATTATCGTAAGCCAGAAATTTTGGATACATCATACACATCCAATCTTTTCTTAACTGATTCTAATGCAAAGTAATCTAGGTAATCAATACCTTCGTCTTCGCATAGTAAACCTTTTTCCTTTTAAATTTTATTAGCTGAGCGGGTTATGTCTGAAATCAATGTAACTGAAATAATTTTTTTTGAGGCTTTGAGGTTTCACAACTCTCTTCAAAATCTAGAGATTTGTGATGAACTGATGCTAGCATTAGAGGTAAATTTAGCTAAGGTTTTTGCTATAACTTTTACGTCTTTTTGCTAAAAGTATCTCAGATAATACATTAGACCAAATCTCTAATAGTCTCTTTTTGCAAAATTTGACACACATTTAATGTGCCTTCCTTTACCAGTTCTTTTTTTTAGAGAA